TTTTTTTTTTTTTCTTTTTTTACCAATTCTTTTTGGAACATCACGAGGGACGCATTAAACGATAATGAAATTTGCGAAGTCATGCTGGTTGAAAACACCACAGTTGTCTTTGTTTAGCTCCAAAACCAATTTTTGCTCTCTCCACATTAAGTTTTATTGAAAAATCGGCTTAGACTTGTATAATGATCTTAAGTTTACTATGGATTGTCTTTTTTGGCGTGCATAACTTTAAGGTAAATGCGGAAAAAGAAGTTACAGCAGCTGCTCCCCTTATGACCAACTTCGCTGGGAAACAAAAGCAAATATTTTGAAGTGTTTACAAATTAGCGAAAAACGATTCTATATGATAATAAAATAATGGAGTACAGAAAACATGGATTTACAAAACTTGATTGAATGGGTAAGCAAAGTGCATCTTACTACACAGCGTTTGGTGATCAAAATACTCTTATTTCAACAAAAAAGCTTAGTTTTCTGCGCGAGCTTTTTAAAGACTTATGAAGAAGCAATTTACGGAACTATTTGTAAGTTTTAAATAAAAAATTACTTTTACGATGATTTCATGATGCTGAAAATATGCTCATTTTATTTCATTTCGTTCCTACTCCTCCAACTCTTCCCCCTCCCCCATATGTGAGTCACACTCTTAGATGTAGCTCCTTGTCGCATAATCGTGAAAGGTTGTTCGTATTTTTCATTAATTTCTATGCACTCATTATTACCGATTGTTAGCTTTACTTCTACACTTTCAGATATTAATCGTTTGGAGATAATTTATTGCAAATCATTTAGGAGAAACCTTTCGAAACAATTTTAGTTTAATATATGACAGATTCATTTTGTAATATCTTGTTGTTGTTTATGCTGCTTCACTTCTGCATGGTAAAGAACACAAACTGTAAGCTACAGCTGTGATTCTTCAACGGCATATCACATATTCGGCACTGTTTCTAGTAAAATTGAAAAAAACTGAAAAAAAAATATGCTTCCGATCTATCTAAGTCTTGGTTTTACTAGTAATAATCAATCTAGAATGTAAAACAAGTCATAGAGCAAAGAGTGGAACAACCAGAAACTTTTTTAATCTTTATAATTATGTTTACTGAAAAATCCTGCTCGACAACTTCTCTGGTCACCGATGACAAATAGAAGATATATATGGATATGGGCAGACAAAAGTTGCGATGACAAAAATTATTTTTTGTGAAGTAGAGAAAATTCTAAAAAAAATTGAAGAAATTATAAAGCTGCGAAATTTTAA